CTTTATGAATAGGGAGTAAAAATGGCTATTTTGTGCAGTATTTGTTTAACCTGATGTTTCTATTACCTCATAGGAGGACATATCCAAACTACGCAGGAAGATAGAGAAGACCAAGAAGCCTGCGGAGAACATCCGAAATGGAGATGAGATCCTGAATGAAGAAATAAATGACTACAAGGTCATTTACGTAGTCCAGTTGTATGGAGGTACAGAAAGAGTTTTGTGTTAATGTCTTTGAAGGATCTTTTTGTTTTCTGTTTCACAGGCCCGGTTGACGTGTCCATGCTGCAATTCCCGTGTAAAGGACGCGGTTTTGACTAAGTGCTTCCACGTTTTCTGTTTTGAGTGCGTGAAGACGCGCTACGACACCCGTCAGAGAAAGTGCCCAAAGTGCAATGCCGCATTTGGTGCCAACGATTTCCATCGCATCTACATCGGATGAGACTCGTGATTCACGGTATCTGCATCTGTTTGGTCCAGTTGCTCCACATTGTTCAGAGGGTGGAGTTTGTCCTGTAACGTTGGGTGAACATCAACAGTTTAACATTCCACTTGTTTTTCTCTACAAAAGCGTCGGTTTAGCAGAACTAACCTGGTCACATTCCACAGGTTTGTCCAAGCCAACATTTCTCACAACATTTCTGCTGCTTGCTTCCAGGAGTGTCCTGAATGTTCGCTGACATCTTTTAAGTTAATACTGCCTCGACCAGATCTCCCATTCCATCTCAACATTACATTTACAACCCAGAGCCAATGTGAACCCATCAACATAAGTGAGACCTGTCATTGAAAACAAACTGCCTAGTCAACTAGGCAATAGTTCATTTGCGTTCAGTTTGCTGATCAGCTGGTATTGTAATTTTTGTACTGTCTACTTTTTTTGACTGCCTGTAGTGATGGTTGTGCAACTGCTTTATTGAAATCCATTAAAATATTGAAATGTATTGACATTGTTTCTTTATGCTTTATTTAAGTTGTCACTAATGTGATTTAGCTGATGCTTAAACAATTTGTTATAGTATATTCTTCTGGATTTATGTTAGATTAAGCATTTTATGCAATGGTGATAGTGATAGTTTATAAAGCAAACCATGTGGAGTTTAAACCTGCCACCATGTTTCTTTCCACATTGTTTTTAAATCGAAAATGGTATGATTATAATTGGCAAAAGTGTATGAAGTTTATTACGAAGTTCGAAAAAAGGTAAGAAACAGTAGGCTAAATGCAGGAAGACTTTTTTTTTTTGATCTTCCTTTCAATAATTTAAAGTAAAACAAAAAAAAAGAACTAATTTGACTAGTAAAAAAAAAAAGCTAATATGATTTTAAGTTACACTGTAATTTAAGGTGTCCTTGTTACAGTGTAATTATACCTTAATACAAGTACTGGGTAATAATTAATTGGCGTTAGTTGCATGCAAATCATGCATAGTTTACTGTTATTATTACCAATGATGGGTGTAATGCATTATCAAGTAATTACTGTAATGTAATTACTTTTCCCTTGAAAGAGTAAGGGATTACACTTCATTTTTCTGTAATTTAATTGCATTAAATTCTGTATAAACTACAGAACAATTCTATATAAAACAATAGCGTGTTTAACAAAATCTAACATCTTAATTTAAAATGTATGTTTTTACTCTAACCTTTCCCTTTAAATACTTTGGTCATTCAAGAATAAGTTATGCAACTTTTTATTTCATTTAAAATTTTATTTATTTGAATGAATTAAAAGAGCAGTTACATGTCAATCCTTGTATTGTTCAAATAGCCAAGGTTGATATAGCTAGAATTTAGAAAGTAAGGGGTTACACTTTATTTCAAGGTGCCCTTGTTATGGTGTAATTATATATTTAAGTACGGAGTAATATTAATTAACTACGTGTACTTGCTACATGGTTAGGATTAGGGTTTGGCTTCGGGTTACTTGCATGTAGTTATGCATAATTTATTGTTTAACAGTAAGTACATGTAACAAGGACACCGTAAAATAAAGTGTTACCGAAAGTAATTAGTAAGAAGCAATCCAATACTTTTTAAAGAGACAGTAAGTACAGTAATCCAATTAGGCCTACACTGTAAAAAATGACCGTGAATTTAATGGTAAAAGACTGTAAAAAGGCTACAATAAAAACCTGTTAAATGGTTAACGGTACATTCCCCTACTATATACGGTGAAAAACTGTATTGGACATTACATGTAATTTTATGGTAGTATACAATTTTTGAAAGTGAAAAAGACCATATAATTTACAGTGAATAACTGTAATTTGACATTCCCAGAATTCCCTGCGTTACATTTCAAATTTGATGTTTTTTTGGTGAAATAACTGTTTCTTCTTAGTTTTTTCTTATCAGTTTTGTATGTTAGGGTGGTGTGTTACATCTAATGTTGTAAAATGAATGTTTGTTGCATTATTTCAGTTTCATGTGTGTTACCATGATGGTGTTTAGTGTTTGTGTGAATGACACCGTGCACCTTCTAAACATTATTATTTAAAAGCTGCTTGTGATGGGCTTTGGTTTATCATGTGACTTTCTCATCACCACCTGCATTTGGTGGTTATCAGTGTATTACAAAGGTACAAAACAGATTTCAGTACTTCAATAGGTTGGTATATTAACATTATATCAGTTAATGAAATTACAGTATTTAACTGTAAATTTAAGTTAAAACGTAAAACCTAAAATGTTGCTACCGTATTTTTTACGGTAAAATTCCGGCAAGCACAGCTGCTGTTTTTTACCGTAAATTTTACTGAATTTTTTTTTTACAGTGTACACTGTTAAAGATAATTAAGTATCTAGTAATTAATTACTTTTTAGAGTAACTTACACAATACAATAAGTAGCCTGGATGTAACAAGGACACCGTAAAATTGTTTAATAATTGAGTGTATTGTTATTCAATATATTTGAATATACGATCATTTTAACTCCGTGAATTTGTGACTCACTACAGTTAATTTATATCCTAATTTGTCCTCTTTTCATATCTGGTCTTCAGTAACCCTGTAGCTCAGTAAAAAGCACATGCCCCGGGCCCCGGGCCCCGGCCTCAGACCCACACGCACCTCGGGCGCTTCTGTAAATCGAACAGCTCGTCTAAAACACCTCGTGTCTCGTCTATTAGAGCGCAGTGCATTACAATGGTTCAAAACAGATATTAACACTTCAATATGTTGGTATATTAACATTATATCAGTTAATGAAATTATGGTATTTAACTGTAAATTTAAGTTAAAACCTAAAATGTTGCTACTGTATTTTTTACGGTAAAATTCCGGCAACCACAGCTGCTGTTTTTTACCGTAAATTTTACTGAATTTTTTTTTTACAGTGTACACTGTTAAAGATAATTAAGTATCTAGTAATTAATTACTTTTTAGAGTAACTTACCCAATACAATAAGTAGCCTGGATGTAACAAGGACACCGTAAAATTGTTTAATAATTGAGTGTAATGTTATTCAATATATTTGAATATATGATCATTTTAACTCCGTGAATTTGTGACTCACTACAGTTAATTTATATCCTAATTTGTCCTCTTTTCATATCTGGTCTTCAGTAACCCTGTAGCTCAGTAAAAAGCACATGCCCCGGGCCCCGGGCCCCGGCCTCAGACCCACACGCACCTCGGGCGCTTCTGTAAATCGAACAGCTCGTCTAAAACACCTCGTGTCTCGTCTATTAGAGCGATACTAGTTCCACCAGCACCGTGTGAACGGGGTTCTCGTGCCTGGCACAGGAATGCAGGAGGCGGAGGCATAACCGTATGTCTGTACGAGCTTTAGTTCATCATGTGACTTTCTCATCACCATCTGTTTTTGGTGGTTATCAGTGCATTACAATGGTTCAAAACAGATATTAACACTTCAATATGTTGGTATATTAACATTATATCAGTTAATGAAATTACAGTATTTAACTGTAAATTTAAGTTAAAACGTAAAACCTAAAATGTTGCTACTGTATTTTTTACGGTAAAATTCCGGCAACCACAGCTGCTGTTTTTTACCGTAAATTTTACTGAATTTTTTTTTTACAGTGTACACTGTTAAAGATAATTAAGTATCTAGTAATTAATTACTTTTTAGAGTAACTTACCCAATACAATAAGTAGCCTGGATGTAACAAGGACACCGTAAAATTGTTTAATAATTGAGTGTAATGTTATTCAATATATTTTAATATATGATCATTTTAACTCCGTGAATTTGTGACTCACTACAGTTAATTTATATCCTAATTTTTCCTCTTTTCATATCTGGTCTTCAGTAACCCTGTAGCTCAGTAAAAAGCACATGCCCCGGGCCCCGGGCCCCGGCCTCAGACCCACACGCACCTCGGGCGCTTCTGTAAATCGAACAGCTCGTCTAAAACACCTCGTGTCTCGTCTATTAGAGCGATACTAGTTCCACCAGCACCGTGTGAACGGGGTTCTCGTGCCTGGCACAGGAATGCAGGAGGCGGAGGCATAACCGTATGTCTGTACGTTAGTCAGCCGTTTCCAAACTTTACTCCATCGTGCAGCTCCTCAGACACCTTTAACATCCACAGATCCTCACAAACTGGATCAAGTTAGGATACTCGCTCAAAAAATAGACTTTTTTTAAAAAAGCAATATGCCTGGCACAGGAATGCAGGAGGCGGAGGCATAACCGTATGTCTGTACGATAGGTTTCCAAACTTTACTCCATCGTGCAGCTCCTCAAGACACCTTTAACATCCACAGATCCTCACAAACTGGATCAAGTTCGGATACTCGCTCAAAAAATAGCCTTTTTTTAAAAAAGCTTTTTTTTTTTTGCATTAGATTGTTTCTTTAAATTAAATGGTATCTTATTTTATCTTTATCGACTTAACGCTTTGTTGTACGATACCATATGCAGTCATCTAAGCGCTATTTCTAAGTGCCCTTGGCAAGAGCGTGCTTGAAGTGACTGTTGAGAACTTAGTTTTAGTATTATATATGAAGAGCTCAGCGGCAATATTTTTTTGCATTAGATTGTTTCTTTAAATTAAATGGTATCTTATTTTATCTTTATCGACTTAACGCTTTGTTGTACGATACCATGTGCAGTCATCTAAGCGCTATTTTCTAGTGCCCTTGGCAAGAGCGTGCTTGAAGCGACTGTCGTTGAGAACTTAGTTTTAGTATTATATATGAAGAGCTCAGCGTATGCCATCTAATTGTGTTTGTTCAGTTGGGTTTTTGTTTGCTGCTTGTTTTTTGATAAGCCTGAACTTGTACATTTGTTCAGCCATGAACTAGGATAGTTTTCGCATAAAGAACCAGTAGTATATTCATACATTTTTTCAAGGTTAATGAAACGCAAAGACGACCTAGACAAACCCGATCAGCTATTATAGTTACACATTGATTATTCAGCGTCTTTTTTCAGATCTCTCTTTTGAGCCGAGCGTTGATCCGGGTTTTTAAGGATGTCTGTCCACAACGTTGCCTCGAGAAGTTCGGAAAAGCTGCTTTTCTTTGGGTTTTTGGTTCTGGTTCGGTCGGTCTTGTGTCATGGGTTTGCTGAAGAGTTCACCTCAGGCTCTTATGATTTTGGGTCTGTTATTCTGGAGCCTCTGGACGGGTTGAGAAAATACGTGGAGTCTATTATTGGCACCCATGTGATTGAGATTTGCGTTGAGGTAACTTTTTTTGTTACTTGTGAAATTATCTAATGACGCATTTTTTCACTTCCCACAGGAATATGTTGCTCATATTTGTTCACATAGAGGTTGCTCTTCCATAGTTTAGGCTACTTATTTAACAGAGGTCTTGATTATTTTTCATTGACGTAACAACTTTGCCTCAGATGTTTAACGAGAACAGACTAAATGTAAGATTTGCTGAGTATAAATAAAATTGGACGAGGAATGTATGAGTTCATATTGAAATCATGATTGCAGAATTTGGTGCTTTGGCAAATCTGAGCACACACTGAAACTCTAGAGGAGAAACACGAGATTACACAGGTTTTTTAGCCTCAGGAGAAACATCTGAGAAGCATGAGACTTCGTGCAAATCAAAGACATCTAGACGAAACAATTGAGATTTTGAAGATATACACACACACACACACACACATATATATAGAGAGAGACATAGAGAGAGAAATATTACTGGACCTTTACTTCTCTTATTCCCTAATGAATGCTTATTGTGGTATGTGGTATTCACATTTCTCTACCCACTTTTATCCCTCTCTCATGTTGCCTCTTGATTTGTTAATCCGCTTTTAACCCTTTCCTCTCCTCCACTCATCCTTTGGCCTAATTTCCTCTGCTTATGTCCCCTCAACCAACCGCCCCTCGCCTCTCTTTGACCCAGAATGCTGTGTTGTACCTTGACTCAGTGTTTGGCCCAGAGAACATCTATTCTGTTGCAATGGTAAGAACAAGTAAAAGTGTCAGAGTTCATGTCAGAGCAGTCACACGGACTGATTTGTGTACTTGTTTTGACACGCACAAGCTCATTCTTGTGTGTTACTGTCTGTGTGAAAGCGACAGCTGCTACTGAGGAAAAACGCCATAACAGGTGCGCAAGTGCTTGGTGGCTCATGCCCAGAATGGCAAACAATGCTGCTTTGTATAGTGATTATTTTCTTATTGACTTCGTTTATGAAGTCATGCACACTGTTTCTGATTGTTTGTGTTCGTCCTTCGCCAAATGAAATTACCTTGTTCCATAGAGTGTCTATTTGATCACAAGTAATGTACGTGTGATAGCTGTGCATGTCTGTGAGTGATAAAGTTAAGCTGGATGCCCAGCTGTCATTCTGGCAGCTTTGCTTGCGCGCGCACACACACACACACACACACACACACTTATCCCTTGAATGTTCACAAATCAATCTTGATCTCAAGTCATCTGAAATGTTCTCATACTTTAAAAATAATGTATTCGGGTTCAGTACAAGTATAGCTCTGTGTATCTGGCATGCTTTTTTTCAGAAAGTAATTTCAACTCATCCCTCCATATGTAAAAATCATGTTTTATGCACTTATCGTGGAAATATGGAAGGTTTAAAACCCAGAAATGCACAGCTCAGACATCTCTTAAAACTCTTACATTGATTGTTCCATACAATAATATGTTATTTGAGCTATAAAGTTGTCCACGTTGTCTTAAGTGGTTCTAAACTGTTTTGCTTCAGGAGTCAGGACCCAGATTTTATATTAAAAATCAAGAGATGAACAATGAAGTACCACATTAAAACTGACTATTATTTCAAGGAAATGCATATACCTAACAATATTCAAAATAATTAATTTGATATTGGCTAATCTGAAGTGTAACTACTTTAAATGTAAAAGTAACAGTGGAAATGTGATTTACCAGCCTAACATGTATAATAAACTATGAGCCAAATATTGTATTAGAGTCAGTAACATGACACTCATTTTGTCCGGACATATTTAATTATTTCAAAACTACATTCAAATTGCAATTTGTACACAATGACTTTAAACACACATCTTGATATAATTTGTAATTAAATTATTAATTGAATTATTGTTCATTTTTGGGGAGTATAAAGGAAAAAATGTCAGGGTGGTACAAATGTCCTGAGATCATAATGAAAATGAAAAGGATATAATTAAAATAAAAGCAGTTTGCCATAAAAAAAAAAAAAGATTTCTCAGAAAAATATTAATTGTGAAGCAGTTTTGTTAAAATATCAGAAAAAAATGTTGTTTTTTTTCGGTCAAAAGACAAAAGAAATGTTTATTCCTCCCTTTTAAAAACTGATTTACCTATATATATATTTTAGCTAACTATGTATGATCATATAGTTAATTGCATTTTATAATTTGCAGTGTTTTCCTTGCTGTCTGTGTTTCCATCAGAACAGAACTGCAACTACTAAATACCTTACTGTTTTGTTACAGTGTTGTGCCCCGAAGATATACATTGTTAGTGCATTAATGAAAACATGATTTTTGCAACCAACAGCATGTCACATACGCTGTCTATAGAATTCGCATTGAACCCTGAAACATTGCTTTAATTAAATCAGATGTGCATTGTGTCACTCTGTCAGTCAGTATTGGTTAATGATTAGCTATGGCCAGTGATCTATGATTTGAGTTCAGATAAAGACTGCCCTCTGTAAGAAAAGAAATGTGCACTACATACACAGGTTCTGAAATCTAATCACTTTTCTCTATCTTCATTTTTTTCTTTAGTTTGTCGAAATGTTGCTGCAGTTTGTTGCTGAAGGAGCTGCCAGTGGACTGAATGTCATTGCTGTGTATGTATCTGAGATTCTCAGAGCAACAGGAGTCAACGGTGAGTAAAGGTCGTCTCTAGGTGTCTAGATCTAAATCTAAATGTTTAACTTAAATATGCATATATATTCTCAAAGATTAATGCAGTGTAATGAATTTTGGCAATCTCAAGCTGTAACTCTGTTGAGTACTAACAGAGAAAGTATGTTACTGCAGCCCGTGGGCCTCGTAATGCTTACATAAATGACCGTGTGGCTTAGTATGTGTGGAATGTCCAAACGACAGTATTAGGAGAAAATGGGGAGAAAGAAGGTAGTATTTCATCTCAGAAACATATGGGCAGGGCCATAGCTGGGGTTTGCGGGGCCCCAGTGCAGGTTGTACCAGTGGGCCCTGTTTGAAATTGTTTAATTTGTATGTTCGTTCTTTTTATTTATTTGTGCTATTTACACAATGTTTACGTTTTTTCAAGTTTGTTGGTGTCCAGGTACAGAAACCGAATAATCAAATGTAAAATAGCACTGCATAGTCTTCACTGTAAAAATGAAATATACAGTCAAACCAAAATTTATTCAGACACCTTCAACATTTCTCACATGATCACAGTTTATTTGCTATAGTTTAGAAAATGGTAATAAAATATGACAAGAACTCAAGAGTTAAACTGTGTCAGAGCAAATTCATCTCGATAATGTCAGATAGCTTTGATAGAAAGGTATGTAATGGATTACAATCAACCAAAAATTCAGATAACTGTTAGTATGACAATATTTACACAACTATCAATACTTTGTTGAAAAAAAATTAATAAAAAATTATATCTGGTGTCTGAATAATTTTTGGTTTGACTGTGGATTAATTCTTGTTAAAACTACAAAGTAATTCAGTCAAGAGCAGTGAGTGATTTTCTTTCATTTTCTTAGATTAACATTACAGCAGCTAGTAAATTAGGCGTGGTCACTTTAAGAGACAATGCATCCATTATAATGATACACATCCGATTTCTTTCTCCACTGTTTACTTTCACTTTAGACATAACCGACAGTTTTTTCGAGGATACTCTCCAAGACAAGAAGAAGCAGTTCAAGCGCTTTGAGACGTGTCTCTTCTGCGTGCGTCCTGTGCGCACAGAACACCGCGCGCGGGTGCTGAATTGGGCTCTTTCACGTCTTTTTCTGTTTGCATGTTTAAACTGTGATTTGTATTTGTTCGTTCAGGTGCGAAGGAGAGCTCGGTTTTGTGTTGTTGTCCGTGAGACGCAGCTCTCTGCGTGCGTACCGAACACGCCGTGCGAGTACTCAGTTGAGTTTTTCCGCGTCTTGTGTTTGAATGCTTTAAACTATTTTGAATGTTTAAATTGGCAAGGCTTAAAAACATGTGCAAATGATAAGCTTTCGTGACGATGTGCAGCAGTGGCCCGTCAACTGTCCTGAGCGTCTTTTTAGGCTGGCCACAGCCAGTCGGTTGAGATCGCTGGGGGCCCCCCCTCAGCCGTGGGCCCCTATAATCGTCACCACCTTTCACCCCACTAGCGATGGCCCTGCTTATGGGCCCATATACAGAACATGCAGTTGTCCCACTCATCAGTATATTAGTGGATCCTAAACCCCAACTCTAAAGGCCTCTTCACACCAGTGACGATAAATATAATTATAAAGTTTTAATAATCGTTTTAATCTATGAGATTAGGGAAGTTCACAGCTATAACGATAACAACACATATAATTTATATCGTTGTAGTAACGTTTACAAAAATTAGCCATGGTTTTATTATAGTAAAAGTGCAGTAACCATGTTTAGTTTTATTTTATTTTTTTTGGTGGATTGATTTCCATTTGTATAACCACAGTTTTACTATAAATACCATGGTTAAGCTATTGTTAGTGTAGCAAAACCATGCTTAATTTGTGGTTAACATGGTTTAACTACAACAACCTTGGTATTTTCTGTAGTAAAACCATGGTTAATTTTCATTAAGGTAATTTTACTGTACTTTTTTTAAAAGTGATATTCAACTGTCTAAATATGTTCACCATGGTCCATTTATGTAAATAATAAATAGCATAAACTATCTATAAAATGGCATCTTAGTAAGAAATCTCAAAATTTTTAAAGTGTTTTTTTTTGGTAACATTTTTATCGTTAAATATTTAAAGGGGTCCTATTATGCTTTTTCACTTTTTTAATTTTAGTCAGTGTGTAGTGTGTATGTTTGGGCATAAAAAAGATCTAGAACGTTACAAATCTCAAAGTCCACTCCAAAGGGAGATATTTCCTGAGCATTATAACCCCAATTTGCTATTGTGTGCTGCGCATTTTACTGAGGACAGCTTCCACAACACGAGGGAGTACACTGCCGGATTCGCCCAAAAGTTTTTGTTGAAAGACAGAGCAAGGGGCGTGGCAGTACTGAAACACTGTCTAAGCTGTTTGCCAATCACAACGCACTGGGACAGCTAACCAATCACAACACATTTTGTTTTTCGGAAGGCGGACCTTCATCAAAGCTGGAACTAATCGAGCCGTTTGTGCCAGGATGGGGAGAAAGGAATTTTAATAATGTAAATTATGTGAAAAATAATGCGTTTTTCGAACCACCAAGCATGAGAGCATGTTCTAGTACACCCCCAAAACAAAATCAAGACTTTGTAAAAGAGCATAATAGGACCCCTTTAAGTAAGCTGAAAACCAATACTTACATTTTAAAGTGTTATTTTCTGTCAAAAAATCCTGCTGTCACCAGTGTGCAGTGAATTTTGGGATAGTCTGGGGCGTGAAGGATCCATCAGTTGTAGGACGCATTTCAAGGCTGTATTTGAAGGAGCCTTCGAATTGGGACAGCCCCTGTGACATTTCAGGTCTTTGAATCCACCCTTCGAATGATGCAGCCTCTGAATTGAGACACAGATATTCACAGCAAATCAGAACCCATTTGACTTTAAAGAGCTTGAGCATTTAAAGCTTATCATAAACATAACATTACCTTTTGTTGGTGTGGATGCTGATATAGTTTTAGTTATCATTCTTCAGATTTTAAAGGGTTAGTTCACCCAAAAATGAAAATTAGCCCATGCTTTACTCACCCTCAAGACATCCTAGGTGTATATGACTTTCTTCTTTCAGAGGAATCCAATCGGAGTTATTTAAAAAAATTGGAAATGTGTTTATAATGTTTTAAATATGGATATTTTTCTAACAAAAATACATGGATTCACTACAGGAGGCCTTTATTCACCCCCCGGAGCCATGTGAGGCACTGTTTATTATGGATGGATGTGCTTTATTGCACTTCTTTTTGTCTGTTGAACAGAAACACCCATTCACTGCCATTATAAAGTTTGAAAGAGCCATGACAATTTTTAATATAACTTTGATTGGATTTGTCTGAAAGAAGAAAGTCACATACACCTAGGATGCCTTGAGGGTGAGTAAATCATGGGCTAATTTTCATTTTTGGGTGAATTAACTTTAATTTTTACACAGCAGATGATTAAATGGGGCAAAAAATTCAATAGACTTACACCTAGCACCACCCAAACATCAGCCAACCCCTCCCTTTAGCAACCACTTATAACACCTTAGAAACTGCTACACCCAATTAACATCTGTTCTTTTTTCTTTCTGTCTGTGTCCTATTTAAAGAGACGATATCAGTGCCTCATTTCACCGCAGAGGGTGTGTCTGCTGTGACCAAGTGGGCTTTGCTGGCTCTGATTGGATACTGGCTCCTGTCCTTGTTGCTTCGAGTCACCGTGGGGCTTGTAAGACGAGCGTTTTGGCTGATTAAAGCGGTCGTAGTGCTGTGGCTGTTTCTGCGGATCGTCTGTGACCCCACCGCCTCCACTGAAGTCACTACAATGAGACTGACTCTACTAATGCTCATCTGTGCTGTGTTTGGAGTCGCTACAAGCAGCGGCGGTGGGACAGCAGGCAAAGCCGTTTGTCTGGAAAGCCGAATCAGAAGACTGGAGGGACAAGTCAAAGGCCTGGAAAAGAAAACACAGTAACGAGCAGCTCAAAACAAGCATACGGACTCATGATAACTGGGAGATGAGAATTCAGGGATGACATCTGAAGTGTTTTATGCAACTCACAACAGCTTTTGGAGTATTTCTATCTGATTTTGCCAGTTCTTTCTTGTTTTGAATATATTTCATAATTCATTGGGCCACGGAGACTTCTCCCATATTGTTTTTACTAAAATGTAAAGCAAGAAGAAAAAACTTCATCCTACAGCTCTGTGAATTTAATGTGCTACCATTAAAGTTTTCCTTGATTGTTTCATGTTGCCTGATTTTTTGTGACTGTCATTGCATGAACACGGTTTAAGTTCAGCTGCTCACACTTGCAACAACAGTAACAATACAAAAGTAACAGGATGAAGACAGTGATTAAGGAAACACATAGATATGTGTGTATGGAAATATATCGAAACTTTATGACTGGACTAAACATATTAATATACTCCAACCTCATCTGTAATTAGACAAACTGTATTAGATATAGTTGTGCTCTGTACTGAATGTGCACTTGTGGTTTACTTAAATCTCAAAAGTATATTTTAAAATAAGTCTACTTAACGGTAATATACATTTAAAGCTGCAGTCCGTAACCTTTTTTGGTTAAAAATGATCCGAAATCAATATTTGAGCAAGTACATAACCAGCCAGTGTTCAAAACTATCGCCTTACTTTAGCCCGATTCACAACGGTAAGCTTATAATAATGTTTTCTAATTTGAGTGGTACGGGTAGGTTTTCGCGGGAAATTCGAGCATGGCGCTGCGTCATTACGTCATGTCTGTAAACATAGAGAAGTTGTCCCGGCTACTAGGCTATAGCATGTGAGGATCCTGCCGGTGGAGGATCGTTTATAGCCTTTTCTTACAGCAGCTGGAATAATTAAATGCATCATTTTGATGGCGGATTGTAATCCAGAAAGGATTATGTGTTTATGAAACACATGTGAATGAAATTAAATTATATTCCAGTTTTAAATGTGCTTCTGATTACAGATAGCCTGGGATTACACAAGATTTGTATTTTAAAGACAACCAGTTCGAAGGGAGCATAATTTGCTTTTTAGGTTAAAAGAAGTTCTTAATATGAAATTCGAATGGTATGACAATTAGAGATTAGACTGCAGAAATTGAAATCTACAAGCTAATACACACTATATTCACATAGTCACGTAATGCTGATGTTGTTAACATTAATAATTTGAGAATAAAGTATAACAATAATAATAATTTGCACGGTTTGATGTGATATGAGCTAACCGATCTTTAGATTAAATCACCATTGGTAGCACGATTTATTGTAATGCTTTTTTCCTCAGTTGGTCAGAACAAACGTGGCAGACTTGTTACTTACTTGTTCAGATCACTATATACGGTGAAAATTCTTATTTGAGTCATATATTCCAAGACGTAGGCGAGAATCTGTGATTGCGAAGTACAGTGAATATCCACACCGGTGCGGTGACTGACTGCCACACATACTCCTCAAAACATTAGATTCATCTGCGCTGGAGCCGTGCCGCCGCACAACCCACGCAAGGAAGATAATTCTGCACACAGCTGCAATTGCAGGTTTTCAAACAGATGGCAACAAAGAGGCAAAACTTACGGACTGCAGCTTTAATGAAATAAAATGTCCTAGTAAGTGTACCTAAAGCAAGTAAACTTAACACACTTAAGTACAGAAAAGTATGAGTGCACTTAAGTAAAGTGCACTGTAATAATGTCACAAATGGTCTTTAAAGTACATATTTAGCTACATTTGTTAACTTACATTCTAAAGCACATGTAATTATTTGTATTAATTACATGTATTAAATATAATTTTAACTGTAATGTGATATTACAGTAAATAATCAAAATTATTTTATATTGCAATTAATGTTAATATAATTTAAAGCTGAAGACTGCGGTCCATAACCATTTTTGGTTAAAGATTATCCAAAATCAATTTATTAGCAAGTAACCAGCCAGTGTTCAAAACTATCTCCTTACCTTATCCAGAACGGTAAGCTTGTACTGTGTTCTAATTTAAAGTACACATGAAATCAAAATTAAGTATATTTATTTTGTTAGCGAAGAATGCTTTTTTTTGTGGTGAACAATTCATCTGTGCAAGTTAAAGGGGTCATATGATGCGATTTAAATTTTTCCTTTCTCTTTGGAGTGTTACAAGCTCTTGGTGCATAAAGAAGATCTGTTAAGTTGCAAAGACTAAAGTCTTAAATCCAAAGAGATATTCTTTATAAAAGTTAAGAGTCAGCCACACCTACCTAAAACGGCTCGTTCTAACACGCCCCCACATATCTACGTCACTGTGTGGGCAGATTTGCATAACGCCGCCCAAATGTTCACGCAAAGAAAGAAGGCGTAACTTTTATTCTCGCTGTAGTATTGCTGCCGCCGCCATGTCGTGAAGGCGCTGTGTGTTTTGTTGTGAAAGCGAAACTACTTTGTTTGGTCTTCCAAAAGAGGACGATATCCACTTCGTCATGCCTGGAGCTGATCCATGCTGGTCGCTGAGGAAATACATCAACTTTGCGCTGTGGACCGCCGGATCGGCTTTCACCGTGGACGAAGCGGAGTCCAGCCCGGGTCGTCACATGTGGTTGCTGCAGGCATCATGATATGGTGAGGGACTTAACATGTCCGTCACACGCTTGAGGTATTCGGCCAATCACAACGCACTGGATTGCTGGCCAATCACAGCACACCTCGCTTTTCAGACCGATGAGCTTTGTAAAAATCGACGCGTTTCAGAAAGGCGGGGCATAGAGGAGAAACAATAATGTACAGTATGTGGAGAATAATGTGTTTTTAGCAGCATCATATGACCCCTTTAATCCACAAAAAAATTCTTCTTCTTCTTTTGTTTTTTTGGCGCGTTGCATTCTTTGTACATATCGCCACCTACTTTTGCTGCTGTTGTGCAGTGATGATTTATTTATAGTCAGTTTTTCCCTGTTTTTGCTCTTGACTCTTTCTCGCATATCCATCCATATATTTATATATAATTATTTGATGCTCCATCCCATTCCATCTCCCAAAGTACCACCTGGCGTTGCGTGTTCAGCTCCTCCAGACTGGACCAAAAAAAAAGTGTTTGCCTTCGTAATCTTTAATCCAAATTTGAAAATGCACCTCCCCCTCGGAAATGACTGGCCTTCTCTGATGACGTCAGTTTGACGGTTTGGGTTTAAGCAGAAGCCACGCCCCTCCTAGTGTGCCGCGTGAGCTTCGACACAGCGCGCGAAGGAGAAACCGCGTAGTTAACAAACAGAAATGGCGAGGAGGTGCGTTTTAGGTTGTGGTTCTCCCGAAACCCTTTTCCCAATCCCCAAAATACCCTGGTTGCGGTCACGATGGCTCGTTTTTTTGCACTTCGAGGAAGGGGGGATATCAGAGAGGTCGCGGTTGTGTTCGAAGCACTTCACACGCGAATGCTTCAAGAATTGGACACAACACGAAATGGGGTTTGTGAAATATCTGTCACTAACCGATACGGCTGTCCCATCTGTCTACACCGTTGGTTCCTCACAAAGTTTGAAGGTAAGTGAAACTACCTAGCAACCAAGCTTCTTCAGACGTTAAACATGATACAGGGATGCCAGCAGAAATTCTTGTCATAGTACACACAATAAATTAACCCTTTCATGCGTGAATTAGGGCTGCCAACGAGACTCACGCAATGGACTCTTTTCTCACGCCACACATCCATTTTCTCACGCAGTCAAAAGCACCCTCAGTTAAAACTGTAGTAGGATATTGACAAAACAGATTTGGTAAAGGCTCCAGTGCGTATTTGTGTTTGCACTCTGGAAATCGCCAAAAGATTGCATTTACAACGTGTTTTCGTAGCGCTGATCAATGTAGCCAATCACAGACATATCTGTTGATTTCTTGAACACCTGTGATTGGCCATTGCTTCCAAGCTAGTCTAAATTCTCTTGCCTCTAAACGCCTAATCCTCTCACTGTAAATATCAGTTATTAGACATGTTCAAGCCATGCAGACTAATAGATTAATAGAAAAATATTTGAATTTTTGTCGACATATTTTTTAAATGCGGTTGCAATTATTTATAAAAGTAGCTAATGACTTTCACTGCACATTGCTATTCTTGTTGTGGTAAAAAAAGTTAATAGTTTTGCTGCACTGCAACATTTATTTTACATCATTTTATGATAAAAATACAGTATAATAATAATGTCCAGATGTCAGACAAAACTGCTGACAGGTGTTTTATATATATTTTTTGCATTAAAAATACAAAAATGTTCTTTAACGTTGTGTTTCGTGCAATTGCTTTGGCAAAGTGTCAATCCCATGAACACGCCAACACAAAAGCACTAGTTTAGTGCTGAGATTCATCACAAGAATCATCTCTCCCTCTTTACTACTGGTTATATCATTAAGTACAAATGATTGAACATCAGATGGTATGTTGAAGAATAGAGTAAAGCTTATTGATCAGTGTTTCAACCGCAGAAATCTCAAGAAAGACAGTCCCCTTAGGAATAATTCTTACTCAAAGTTTAATTCAAAATTTGGCAGTCCTGTACAATGATGTATTTTTGCGTTGCACCCATATCATACTGTGATGCAATTCCTGTTATACAGCCCCTAACAAGAGATGTGGCATGTCAATGTGATGCACCATATTTGAAGAGTGTGTCGATACAAACAATAACACAAAAGCTGAAAAGACGGAGTAAAGGTAAAGTTATAGGCTACTATCTATGTTTATCTTAAAGGGGTGGTTGACCGCTTTTTTTTCTTGGCTTGATTGTGTTTATGGGGTACAGTCTAACATGTGTTAATGCTTCGTTTTTAATTTAATTTTATGAAGCCCCTCCCTCAGAAATACGCAATGGGCTCAGATTGGTTAGCTGGTCCATTGTATTGTGATTGGCTCAACCGCCTAGTGCAGTCCAGAAACGTCACGACTCACGCCCCTCACCTCAGTGGCGCTCCGGCGTTATATTGTGAACAATGGCGTTGTCAATATTGCTTATCAATTTGAGCAGAAAGAGACCCAGAGACCATCGTGCAGAACCTGCGCAAGCACAGCTCTTATGGGACGTTTCAGAATGGTATGTTTTTTTGTTTGTTGTTGTCTCATACTTTTAGATACGCTGTTATTTGTAAATGCTACTGCTTATGTTAGCTTTATAATATACGGTTTTATCCTGATTAAAGCTTTAATACAGCAGAATACGTGAAAGTGTTGTAGTATTTTTGTAACAGTAAGAAGTGTTTTCCAGCATGTATTGCTTGCTACCATGGCAACCGCATGAGCGTCCATGTTTAACGCTTCTCACTTCTCGTAGCTATGTGAAAAATATCTCTGTCTATTAGGGGTGGGGGAAAAAATCAATACAGCATAGTATTGCGATATTTTCCGCGGCAATATTGTATCGATACACGGATGCCAAGTATCGATCTTTTATTATACTATTTGGTAGAATAGTAAAATCAATTTCTTTACAATCCACTAGATGATGGTGTTGAGTTTTTTCTGGTGAGGTCAGCTGGGTCACCTTCAGCATGCAGTAAGTTAGTAAAATAAAGATGGCGGTATTGCGGAAAGTTATCAGGAAAGCCCCGTCCACATTTAAATCGGATGTATGGACTTACTTCGGATTTGTAAACAAGGAGGGGATGTAAGTAGGGATGTACCGAATTTTTGGCATCCGAAAATTATCGGCCAAAAATGCGAGCCGAAAATATAGGCTACATATAATAATAATAATAATAATAATTATTATTATTATTATTAATAAGACATATGGTGCGCCCCGCTCGGCAGTGTTCAGCACTCATGTTTCACTCTCCTCGTCACTGCTTGGTTTGACACTCCGCTCAATATTCCGATCTATGAATGTGCGTTCCACTCGTGTACCGCTCATGCTCACCGGAAAAGCAAAGTCTGCTCAAATAACGCGCTGACAGGAAATTTCTATGCAGTATAGGCCTACTTGTTCCGGTTTGCAGTAGCGCTACTGTGCTGTAACATGGTGTAGGCTAGTTCAGCTGTACTGGGCAACGCTGCTAAAATAATGCTACCTTCA